TTGGAGTCCTCTGATACTTAACTTTAAAAGAAGAAAACTGAATAGCCCACTATAAAGAATTTGAGGGGGGGGGGGAAATTAAGGTATTTTTTAAAATCTCTCTATCCAGATGAATTCAATATGAGATTTTTTTAAGTGGTATGGCCTTGTCCAAGAGCATAAATTACATACAACTTATGTAAGACGTTTTACGTGTTTATTTCCATTATTTGAACTTGACTGCCACATTTTATGAGAAAGAGACCACATGGCACATACTAATAGGCTTGGGAAAAGCTCTTCTTCATGGAAACCTGACAGGAGTTTTTTTTCCTTTCAGGGAAATGAGTTTCTTCAAACCCAGATAACAAAGCTTAAAAGTCAGCACAGTCTATCATCACTGACGATGTCTGCGAGAGAGGTCTGAACGCTTGGCTTAGAAAGAGCAGGCCCTTGACATCTCAGGTCTGAGCCCTGAGATCTTTGCTCAAATTCAAAACTATTCCTGGGTAAGTTTACACACGTTGCTTGTTTTCTTTAGAACGAAGAATCACATTTTCATCTGGTGTCATCAAGTTTCTTACACATACTTTCACACCCAAGTTATTAATCTTTTTAGCTCCTCTCATCTAATGGCCATTGTATTGGCCATAACCAAGTACCATGAACTGGGTGGTTTGCACAACAGAGACAGATTGTCTTACAGCCCTGGAGGGTAGAGCCTAGCATCAGTGTTGGCAGGACTGGCTCCTTCCTGAGGGCTCTGGGAGACGGAATCTGGCCCATGCCTTTTCCCTAGCTTCCGGTGGTTGGCCGGCAATCTTTGCCTTTCCTTAGCTTAAAGAAGCATCACCGATCTCTGCCTTCATCTTCACATAATGTTCTCCGTGTGCTTGTCCATGCTCAAATTTCCTTTTTATAAGGACACCTGACATACTGGATTAGGGAGCCCCCTAGTGACCTCACGTTCACTAACTACATCTGCAAAGACCCTATTTTTGAATAAGGTTACATTACAAGGTATTGAGCTTTAGGACTTCAATATATGCATCTTGGGGGGAAGGGGGGGACACGACATGCAATTCAACCCACAGCAGCCATTTTTCACATGATAAAGTTTGGCATTTTCCAGTCACTACATACTGTTTGAATAACTGCTGAATTTCCCACACCTGCAGCAGACCCTGGAAAACAGGAGCCCAATAAATACCTGTCGAATGAATGAGTGAATAAATGAAGGAGACTGCACATGAGAAAGAAAACTATGGATGCTCAGAGCTGAGCTCAGCTAACTCGTCAGCTGAGTAATGCCTTCCGCATGGAATGTAGCAGGAATTAACATGCGCTGAGGCAAAATTACAAAATACTGTACACCAGATGGATCTGTAAGGTCACAAATGTGGTAACTCACAAACATCAAAACCCACAAAACCCAGGAACTATTATACAAGGCATGTACTTTTAATAATGATCTCTTTCTTAAGAAAAACAATAAAGTATCGAAAATAGGGTAGCAAATGATTTCAGTTTAAATAAGCCAAGGAATGCATCAGACAGAGCAAAGATCACTAAATGAAACACTACCACCCAGACACGTTACAAGATGATCTGCAGGCAGTCCACTGCTACAGCACTAAATCAGGTGATTCTTCGTTATAATTCTCTCATTTTAATAACTAACCCTCTTTGGACAAAGTCCAAGATGAGTGGTAAACTGGAGCCAATTGTGTACTGTAACAAGCCGCTATTCTTTCTGTAACATTTTCCAGCATAACCTCTCGATAGATACACTGACATAACAAGGAATTGAAGGTACTCTTCTCTATTTCCCCTAATCATCTCATTCAGATCTTATCACCATGAATTTCCTGGGTACTTGGCTTTAAAATACTGTATTACTATCAACTTTAAATTCAAGCCCTGGGTAGGTCTACATTCATTTCAGCAGAAGCATCTTGAAATGCTGAATTATCATCTTCAATTTCCCTCAGCCATTTATTGTAGCTGCCAAACCGAAGTGGTACGCCTTAAAGGCAACACTAAACTGAAAGCGAGTAATAAAAAGAGTCTCTTAAATGTTTCATTTATAAAAGCTTATTTTTCCCACCATCAAATTTTGTATACTGTCTGAAATACATCACTTTACAAAACTGACATCTCACATGCAGTTATTCGGCCCTGCTACATTTGCTAAACTTCAAGGATGGGGCAGGGAGTGGGGGTGGCAGCAACTAGCATCTTTTTTCAACCCTTTCTGAACAGAGGAGTAATACAGAGCCAGGATGGTTTGGGTTTTGGCCTTTGGGGGGAGGAGGCATATAATTAAAATTAAACTTCAATGGCCAATAGGTATCACTATAACTATCTCCTTTTCTGATAGCGCACTATCTTCCTGGCTATATTAAAAATTATGCAATAAAACAGACACTTTAAATAGGCACATCGAGTGGGAGGGTGGCTCCTCCCGAGTGGTGGGTCTATGACCGCTCACTGATAAGGGAACAAATCTGCAAACCAAAAGCATTCAAAGCATTTTCTTGAACTACTGCTCACAAGCAATATATAGCAAATTAATCAGGTAGAACAAATCTACAGAATTCTATTATAAAACCCTATATACTTTCCCCCCAACATAATTGTGAATGACAACTATAATATACTAATATATAAAATAAATAAAATATGGTTTGTATTTCTAAAACTAAAGACTTTTAGACCAGGATATAGGGGACAGGAAATGTTTTTATTAGGAAAATATGTTACATTTATATAAAATAGATTGCTACCAAGCTCATTTGGTACAAGAGCCACTGAATTCACCTGAGCAAGTTTAGTAAGTAGGCTGAGGGAGAAAGTGAGATGCCAGCGCTGCTTTTCCTTCCCTTTACACATCAAACTTAGCTACCACCTGAGGGTCCGAATCACTGTTCAAACCTTTCTCAGTTAACGCCACTTTGTAAAGCCAGAATTTGATCATTTCTTTTGCATAAAATTATAGTTTAACTGTATCACAACTGATTCCTAAAACATCTTTTAACTCCAACAACCTACTTAAGAAAAAAGTATCTGTATTCAATACATTGTCCAGTTTTGAAGAATTTCCTGACTACATTTGTAACTAATTTTCAAAGCCTTATTTAGAAATAATGCCAATCCATTCCCAATAGCTAAGTGGAACAATTTTTTAATCTACAGGGCATTTTAAAAACCAATCAATTTCCCATAACCTCCTAATTCCAGGAATCTAAACCATAATTCAAGCTTCGATTTTCCTCTTAACATATTCTACTTTACTTAAATGAATTCTTGTCCTGCAACTATGAACAAGAAGAAAATTGTACTTAAAATAATATTAAAAGACAAAATCTCATTATTTAGTATTAGATTAATAGTCTATAATTCTAGTCTTAAAAATATCTATAGCTATAACCTCTCCAACTTGGTAATTCCCAGAGAGATTAATAAAAGGTGTCATTAACATCTAAACTTAGAGCAGACTATCATTTGGAACAAACTGTGTTAACAGTAACTGTACCTGAGTCAAAGAGATCAACCCCTCACCCTTCATGGTTTTGACTAAGGTTAATGAGCACAATTTGTCATAAATTTTCCAGTAACTCTGAAAATCTGAATTGAACAAAAAGACTTTTTTCAAACACTTTATAAAAATAGAATAAAAGCAGGAATTGTCTTATTAAAACCCAGCAGTATTGCACGATGGAAGTATCATTAAGTGTATATGAGATAAATAAAGAACAAATAAGCAACCAATGCACAACCACCACTCAGTTCCTTATTATGTGCTAAGTATTTAAAATCATACATAATAAAATAGAATGCACTCAAACTTTGTTTTTTAATCCTCACCCAAGGATATGTTTTTATTGATTTGAGGGAGAGAGGGAGAGAGAAACATCGATGTGAGAGAGAAACCGATCGGTTGCCTCCGGTACTCACCCCACCCAGGGGATCAGCCTGCAGCCTGGGTATGTGCCCTGACCAGAGACTGAACCCTTGACCTTTCAGTGTTTGGGATGATGCTCCAACCAACTGAGCCATACTGGCCAAGGCGCAAACTGTTTTTCTACTAGTAAACAATGAAAAAATTATTCACCTAAGAATCTCCAATTTAACAGAATACAGAGTTGTACTTTTACAAACCTATAATTTGGCTAATGATTTTCTACCATTGTATGATTATTTTTCTTTGTGAAATTAGAAAGATACAGAAATGCAAACTACAATTTCTTTGCAGTAATGAAGGCCACATGTACACTACACTTAACTTTAACAACACTTATCTTTCACAAAGAAGTGGCTTTTTTAAAAAGGCAAAAATTTGAATGAAGGAGAAAAAAGAATGAAATAACTATAAATGTTCTTCCACTTCAAAAATTGTCTGACATCTGAGACAGAAGACTTTCTGCATCTATCAGTGACTTCCTCTGCACGTGTCACAGAAAGAGTTCAACATGCTTTATAAAACCCATTACATTTTAAGACCATTTCCAATATCTGCTACCATAAATCAAGAAATTCATTTATTCAAGGCTACTTATGGAAAATTAATCACAGAAAGTTTTAACTTCTTTTTCAAAAATTAAAGTACTTTACTGTACTTAGCATTCCTACACATGATGTGGATTCAAAGACTGAAAGCATTAAGGGAATATAATTAAAATTCATAGGCTTAGACATAAAAAATAATTTTAATATTAGAATTATCTATAACAAATATTTCAGAAAAATAAATCAGAACATAAACACAATACAATGTCACTTAGATTTCTACTCTGCTTCAGTGGTAGAAATTATATAACATAGGAAGCTGTCCCAAAACCCTTGTATGTACTTGACAGAGCTTCAAACACATGTAATCAAACAATCTGAAAAGTGAGACCACTAGAACATGGGCACCGTGCATCAGGAACGAAACGTGAATTCCTCTACTCCTGATGATTTCTAAGGCCTATCTTCCCACTTTCAAGGGCAAGTTTGCCCAAAAGAGAAGAATAAACAGGTCAGCTACACACACTTACAGCCTTTATTGACAGGATATAGGCCAAAATTCAGTCATCAATATACAGCCTCATTTCCCATCCACAATTAATGAGAATATATTTTACTTCAAATGAGACATAGGCAAAGTGCCAGAAATTAAAGTATAGCCTTAAAGTCTTAAATTCACACTTCAAATATCAAAAGAAGCAATTCCCAAAATCATGAGAACATGATGAAGTAACTACATAGAAAAAAAAAAAGAGCATTTAAGTCACTTCACTTTTTCTTGTATATAGTGAAAACAGATGTATTTATAACTTCAGACTTCAGAGAGCATACTTCATAAAGTCATTATTCATTTAAAATAGACAAATGTTTACAAAGAACATTTAACTTAAATCTCATAGTTGCTTATAAAATGGTACTTGAAAGGTTGACCTATATAAGGAAATAAAGAGTCCTGTCAAGAGGGATGGTAAACTATAAATATAAAATGTACCACGATGTTAAAAACCTCACAGTACTGTATAGGAAAATCAATAAAGATAACTTCATCTTTCTGGAGGAAAATGTATTTATCATTACAAATTTAAATGTAAATTTTATATATGAATTCAATAAGGAATACATTTAAACCATGCATTGCCACATAATCACCATCTAGTTTGTGTAAAACAATAAAAATGATGTACTTTTTGAACATATGTACATCAAAAACAAAAGGTTATTTTTTACTTTTTCCTTTACTAGCAACTTTGGATGCATTTTTAGGTTTTGGTTCCCAGAGGGCATTTTTCACAAATCTTGAAGCTGCACCTCTGTCCAGCTTGGCCGCCTTCTTCTTGTCTGTTATCTCCTTGACTCTGTTCATGTACACTCTGATTCTTTCCTTAACGATAAAATAAAAGAAGAAAGGCAACAGAGTTACTGAGCTGTTCAGCACCACTAAGTTTTATTATTACTACACCTCAGTTAGATTCAATAGACAGGTATTCATTGCCCATCGAGTGCAGCTGGTAAGTACAAGTGAACAGGGTAAACCCGCCTGTGCTCTCCCAGAGCTCACAGTCAAGGGAAATGTAGGTATTAAAAAGTCATTTCAAAAGTATTCTGAGTGTTTCAAAAGAGGGAAAATTAGACTAAAACGTCACTACAGAGATAAACATTGAACTATTTACATATAGTTACACATTGTTTAATTTAGCATTAACGTAAATCCACATATTGGCTCTTATTTAGCTGAAGTCTGTAATCTAAAAATAGAGCTCTCCTATACTTGCAACATACAAACTAAACTCTCCTAAAAAATCTTCTAAACAGAAAATGAGTAAGGCAAGGTTGATTTTTTTTACTACCTTGGAGTGTCACAATTAAAATAAGCAGGATAAAAACACAAGATCTTTTATTCAATTTCATAGTTTTGATTGATAAACACATATTTTCTAAAGACATATACAGTTCCAATCAGACTTAACAAGGTGAGAAACACAATAGGTTGCCATACCATTAAAATCTTCTGAGATCATTAATCAGAATGAAGGGCTATTCTTGTACTTCAGTTGGAGAAATAAAGGTTATGAGAGCCATAAAATAGCCGAGTAAATGATTAATCACTGCTTAAAAGCAGGTTTCAGTAAAATAATCAAAATAGTGACATACACAGAAAAATGCAGAACCTTAGAATTTTTTAATTGAAAGACTGACAACTCTGCTCAAAACTCTCTCATGGTCCCTATTTCTCTCAGAGTAAAAGCCAAAGTTCTCACAACACACACCCACTCCAACCTTGTGCTATTTATTTTTTCCCATAACATATACTATATATCCCCTAACACACCATATATTCTATACACTTATTATCTGTTTGTTTGTTTTATTATGTTAACTGTTTGTCTTCTTCCACAGGATGGTCTGACATCTGCCACAGGGAAGAGATGTTTATCGCTTTATTTACTAAGGAATCACCTCACTTGAAAATAATGCCTGGCCTCCTACCAGGCACTCAAATATTATTGAATGGATAAATTCACTATTTTCAATGCCTCTCCCATTCATGATGTCTCTCTCACACACTAACTCTGTGATCAATTAGTGATGTCTGTCACAAGGCCAGAAAAGAAGAAGAGGTTTATGTATTCTTTTTATTTGGCAACACTTGTCCAGAATATGAATGTACTCCTCCATAAAGTATGTTCTGAGGGAGAAAGAAGACATATGATTTTCTTTTCCCAATGACAGAACCAAGCATTAAAATACTCCAAATAACTTGATGTTAAAAAAAGAGAGAAATTTTATAAATGTACAGCCTGTATTAGAAAGTTGAAAACAGATGACACAATGCATACTTCCTAGGAATTAAAGCCAGTGTCATTGCTCAGATCAAGATCTGTGTATCACATTGCTTTATAGTTTGCTTTAAGTATTTTTTCACAATTTCTGAATTCAGAAATAAATTTGTTTTCCCCCAAGAGCTTTAAAAGAAGAAAATATCTTAGTCCACGCATTAACAAAATGAAGACAACAGATCTGGTTTATTTATTTTTAAAAATAAATGACCAAGTACTTTACTGTTACATACACTTTACTAAGTTGTATATAACATACATATCAACTACCGTAAGACTTAAGGACAATAATACATTGTCAAGTGTGTTCACATATATATTTACCTTATATTTTATAAACACAAAGAATAAATTAATATTCTTATTCATAAAGCCAAGTCAAGAAGGTAACCATAAGTTTGATTTCTAATTTTTCTCTTTTAAATTGGCTGATTTGATTTAATTTCTGAAGTCAGCAAAACCTCTAAGATACCAGACCTTATATACGGTACTTATACATCTAAATGGGATACAAAGACAAACCTAGAAGATTTATTACAGGTTGTAAATATGTCACTAATGCAGAATTACTGGACAGTACACATACAACTGGTGCCAAAAAAGCTTTTAGCTTTGTTGCTGAACTGGATTCTTTACTGCTGAGAAAATGAATTAATGGAAGAATTGAAAAGGTGGGGGAGAAACTTTCCCGTCTTTGCTAGTAAATCAACTAGAATATACTTTTAAGAATTGTGTAAGAGTTTAAAAAAAAAGAGAGGCAGTTGTAGAGATGAACAAGATTTCAAGAATTTATAGGCAAAATAATATGGAAGTTATAAATAATTACTAGAATCATAACATAGTTTTCTCATCCAGAGATTTAGATAATATATGTGGAGCACCAATTCTGACAAAGGTAAGAAAAAGCTAAAGACATACTGAAATCTGACTCACTTTCACAATTTCAACTCTAAATAATTTTTATTCTCTACAATTAGTGTGATAAAGGTACTGTGGCTTTAACTTCAGGAATACAACAAACAGCCATGTAAAGGAAAAAACCCACTGCAATCTTACCAATTCCTGCTTTACTGGGTGTTCCTTAGGATTAACTCCTTGAGTTGCCAAATAAACTACAAGAGAAAGATTTCATGAAATAAAATGGTGTATATATTAATTAAGAGCATTAAAGAAACTCTAATTACTCACAAAAAAGAAATGTCACAGAAATGATTGATTAAATCTTAAATTATTCAACCTCTATGAAATAATAAATGTATGTGTGGCTAATGGACATAAGGTATTCTGATTTAAAAGAAATAAATACTGTATCTGACTATTAAAATTGTCATAAAGTATGATTGTATATAACATGCTAGCATTTAAAAAATAAATCACCCTTGACTCAATAAATAATTTGCTTTGTAATTAACTCCAAAGTAATATACGTACCCCAAAACATTGAATTTAATGTGTAAGCAGAAACTAAATCCACTTTTGCTTGTTCAAGTGGGTCCAACTATTGAAAGAGAGAAAGAGAAAAAAAAAGAAATTCAAACTTTGAGAACCATCACATCTTTTAAACTTTCACCAAGCACAATGTATCAAAGAAATGTTTTTTTTACTTCTTATAATCCAATAACCAAGTGATCTGGAAATAATTTGCAAAAAAGAAAAAGGTTGGTTAGCCAGTGATTTTTGCCCACAAATTTTCAATTCAGGGTACCATCTTTAGTTAGATGAGGAATGTGTATAATCCAAGAAAAATTCTTTTGAATTATTTTAATTTCAGGAGTTACGATCTGGACTTTGTATGTCAAAAGTAATTTATCAATATAAACATTGTACACAATGCATTTATGTATAAGAAGCAGGCTAAAATGCTTAGGCAATACCAAAGACAGAAGAAACATAATGAGATTTGTTTTAGACTGTCAAAGTCAATTTACTGTTTTTGTCCTATAGGGTTTCCAGAAACCCCGATAACATCATTGTAATACTTAAAGGTCAAAGATAGAGTCTGTCGAAAAGAATGCTATGAGTGGTTTTGTTTTGTTTGTTTTTTTCCAAAACCAAGTCAAAATAAAAATATAGTTAAGAGGTATTTCCTAAGGTTGGAGTTTTGTTTTATTTTATCTCTGAAAAATACTAAACACTTAAAAATTGAAATAAAGGGGGAAAGGAGCATGCATATATCATTAATCTATTACTTAACACAGCACTTTGTTTTTATGAATTACATTTTTTTTAAATACATATATCTTTATTGATTTCGGAGAGAAGGGAGAGGGAGAGAGAGAGAAAAAAACATCAATGATGAAAGATTCATTGCCCGGCTGCCTCCTGCATGCCCCCTACTGGGGATTGAGTCCAAAACCTGGACATGTACCCTGACCAGGAATCAAATCGCGATCTCCTGGATCATAGGTCAATGCTCAACTTCTGAGCCACACTGGTCAGGCTGAATTACATTTTTAAAGTACCTTCTGCAACAACTCATTTCTGGAAACAGACATCATGGTCTTCAGCATGTCATCTACAGCACCAATGGAATTCTCAAATGCTGATAAATACTCATGGATTTCTGCTGGATAGTCTTCATTAATTTCTTCTTCTGCCATTACGACCAACTGGGGGAAAAATAAATTCTTAGAATTCATACTAGAGACAAAAACTAGAGTCAGGCTGAATTAGCTCCTCAGATTACTATAAAATAAATAATAAATAGGTCATACCATGTACTTCAAAAGTGCTAAAAGTTAAAACCTGAAGCTAATTAAACAAATCTTAGAATATAATTGTAGAACAACTACATCCAAACTTGCCCTCTTTTTAAGTTGCTTGGGAAGGGAGGGTGGAGTGGAGAGCAGGGGACAGACCCACCCAAGCTCACTAATGCTAAACATATCAAACTCTCAGTGCTTTTAGAGAACTAAAGACATGGCTACCAATCACAGAATATCAATAATCAAAATCCTACATTTAAAAAACTTTCTGTTGAAGTTAAAGACCAAGCAAAGCAATGAAAGTGTGATAAGTATATCCCCTAATGCTTGCTGAAAAAATGATAAGCTCTTTTTTTCAAAACACTTATATATATTTTAACCCTTCTAAACTTAGGTGTTGATCTAGCAGCATGGTATGTTAAACTAAAAACTGAGAAATCCTAAATCTGAAATATCTTATGGTTATTTATCACTAAAACCACTTTCAAACCTATATTTATATGTATATACATATATATTCCTTAAATGTCTTTAAAATATTAAGAAGAAACTCAAAGAGCCCATAAATCACATAAAGCAGAAAAGAGGAAACTTGGGAGAAACAAACTACTATATGGTTTTCATTTAGGCTAGAGCATACCTTGACAGCCCATTCTTTTAAAATTCACATTTATATCATAATATTTAATATCTATGTAAGAAAAAGCAAAACCCACATTAATATATTTCATGTGGTACCTATGACCAAATTTCAGAAGCAATTCTAAGCCACAGATACCATTTTATGTTTAAAAAAAAAAAAAATTTATTAGCTAAAAATACCTCATTTATTACATAGCTAAGGAAAACAGCAAGAATGTGGTAAAATAGAACATAGCATAGCAGAATTGAAGTAAAAAGACTTGGGCTTTCCATCTTGCTTGATCACCGGCTTTGTCACCTCAGATTTGGATAAATAGATGAATCTCTCTGGGCCTCAAATACCTCATCTATAAAATGGTCTTGTGGTCTGTAAAGGACTCCTATAGTTCTAAATGTTATGACTATGTCATTTAAGTTTAGAATGTACTATTTGAATATTTAGTCACAATATATCAATATTTCTATTCAACAAGTATATATTCTACTGAGACATCTGGGTTCATTTAAAAAAAAAAAAAAAAAAGTGAAGCCCACCTGACTATCACTGCTTGTGCTGTAGTTACTATCCAACTACTGTGTAACCAGCAATTAAACAAAGAACTATGGTAAAAGAAAACCACACAGCAAAGACTGTGACTTCTTCCTTCAAAAGGCTACCTGAAAACACATATTTGCCTCTCATCCCTCCCAAAAATCTCTCCAAAACGATAAAAGAGATATAAAAATTTAAGTCCATAGTGATGCTAGAACCAAAAGGGGCACATACCCATCAGCAAACCTTACGGTACAAATTTTTGTAAGCTCAAGAGTAAATGGGATCAGACTGATAAGGAACAGGAAAAAAGAGCCTGTAATCCCTTACAAACCAAAGGGGAGAATCTAGGAATAACCCAAGGCAAAGGGCAGTAAGAGCTGGGCCACAAGGGCTGAAAACAGCTAAACCCAATCTCTAGCGCTGCCAAAGGATGGCTCCAGCATCTGCTGTCCAGGTACAGGTGTAAGTACAAGGGCCATGCTGCAAATATAAAGAAGATTTAGTATTTCTTCTCTTTATGCAAAATCTTAAACCAATAAATTTGAAAATATGAATAAAAAGAAAGGTGCTGGGGGAAAAAAATCAATTATCTAAACTAACCTAAAAGAAGTATATAAATAAGTAGATCATTAATCATAAGGGAAAAATTTAAAGGAAGTCAAAGATCTGCCATCCAAAATGGATCCAAGCCTAAAAGACATTACAGGTAAGTTCTTCCAAACCTTCAAGAAACATGTTAATTCTTACGGTATTTAACTGGTTAGAATGTAGGAAAAGATAGAAAATTTAGACACCTTTTTCATAACACACAAAAATAAACTCCAGATGAATGTAAAAGATAAATGAATAAACATATTAAAAGTGAAATCCAAACATAACCCAAGTGAAATCCAAATGCTATAAAAGGAAAAGGCTGACAGACTTACCTACACAAAAATTATTTTTAAAATTACGATAAAAGTACAGCATAAGCAAAGTTAGAGGAAAGAACCTGGGAGAAAATATTTACCAAAATATAACAAAGGATTAGTTAGATAATATTATATTGAGTTTCTACAAAGCATAAAACAAATTAAAATAATGAAGATATCACTCATCAGATTGGTAACAATTTTATAGATTACCAAAGGTCAATGTTAGCAAAAGTATATACTGAAGGTAGAATATAAATTGGTACACATTTTTTAAATACACATACCCTTTTTTAAAAAACGCTCTCTTAAAATTGATTTAAGAGAGAGAGACATCAACTTATCTACCTATCGATGCATTCATTGGTTGACTCCTGTTCGTGACCTGACCAGGATCAAATCCACAACCTGGGTGCATCAGGTTTTGACTTAGGAAATCGTCTTAAGAATCTAGCCTACAGAAAACCATGTATACATGCATAAAAAGTTATCAAAATTGACTCCTCAAACTCTTCTCTGAATTTCCCCCACTTTCTTTTGCATCATTTTTTTCCTTCTGCTGGATCATTCCTCATAAATCTTAAAACATTATTCCATCTTAGACAAGAAACAAGACATCTTGACTTCACATGCCACTCCAGCTAGAGCTCCATTTTCTATCTCCCTTTTAGAACTCCTCAAAAGAGTTGCTTATATTAACAGTCCAATTCCTCTCCTTCCATTCTTTCTTGAATCTACTACAAACAGGACCCCTACTTCTCACTCAAAGTTGCTCTTGTCCAGGTCACCCACACAGCCACAGTTAAATTCAATGGTCAAGTCTCAGTGCTCATCATTTGACTTCATTGACTCCCTTCATTTGGTTCCCATTTTCTTGGTTTCCCTCCTACCTCGTTGGCTGCTTTCTTGGTGTCCTTTGCAGCATCCTTCTCATATCCTCTGCTTCTTAACCCTGCAGTCCCAAGGGCTGTCCTTGATTCTCTTTTCTTCTCTAATTTATTCCCTAGGTGAGCTCAGGGCTTTAAACTGCATTAATAAACTGCTAACTCCCAGGTCTGTATCTCTGGCCCTGACCTCCCTACTGAACTCCAAATCTACATTTCCAACTGCTTACTCAATACCTCTGGTTGGTATTAATAGATTCTCAACCATAATGTACCCAGAGCCAAATTCCTAATCTTGCCTATTGTAGTCTTCGTCACATTTAATGGTAACTCGACCTTTTCAAAATTGTTCAGCCCTAAAATTTCAGAGAGGTCCTGGACTCTTCTCCCCCCACCTTTAAGCATACTCAGAATCTAACTTCATCCCCCCACCCCTACGCCTCCAGAGTGCTCCAAGCCAGTCCCAGCCATCGTCATGCCCTGCCTAGATTGCTGCAACAGCCTCTTACATGGCCTCCTTATTTCCAGCCCAGTAGTTTACTATCAAGAAAAAGCAGAGTGGTCACTTCAAATCTGAGTGGTCATTCCAAATCTATGTCATACCTCTGGCTTACCACCTCATTCAAAGTAAAAGACAAAGTCCTCACAATGCCCTAAAATGCCCAACAAAATTGGCCCTCTCTGTAGCCTTCTGTGACCTCAGCTCCTCCCATTATACCACTTGCTCCAGCCAGGATGGCATCACTGTTCCTCCTCCATCACAGCAGGCATGCCCCTACCTCAGGGCCTTTGTACTTCTCCCCTTACTAGAATGTCCTGCTCTTCCTCTCCTCCCCCACCAATAGCTTCAAAACTTACTACTTTACATGCCAGATCTTTACTCAGTGTCCCATTGGTAACCCTTTCCTGAACACCCTTTTAAAACATATGCCCTGCCCATCACACCTCACCTCCCAGGCCCTGCATTCCCTATCACCTTCTCTACCTTACGGTCCACAATTAACATCTGACATTTTATTTTATTTGTTTATTGTCTGTCCACTTCAAAGGATGGTAACTACATGACAGCAGAATGTTTTCTGTTTTTTCACTAGCACTGCCTGACAATCAATAAACATTTGTTGAATAAATAACCTATAACAAAATACTGGAAATAATCTAACTATTCATCAATAGAGAAACAGCTAAATAAATTGGAGTATATCCATCCAACAGAACATTATAAATAAGCCAGTTCATAAAGGTTCATTTGGATAAAGCTCAGCAGAACAACATATAGCACAAGGTTGAAACTTTTTCTGATGTCCATAAGAAGCTCACAGGCAAGGATGTTGATTTTGAATTCCCATAGCTTCCGTTGTAAACTGAAGAGATACAGGCAAATGACTAAATAAAATATTGTTCACAGTAAAAAAAGGAGAAAAAAAAGTAAATATGTAGTAACACATAAAGAGAAGTGGTGGAAAAATATGTCATAGAACACTCTATATATAAACACATAATGTATCTAACATATGCCATTTGTTTTTAAAAACCTGTATCTGTAGATATATTGAAGATTTGAAGGAGACATAAAAAATAGACATCCTCTCTAAGAGCAGGGATTAGGGAGTAAGATCAAGGCAAACTCGTTTTATTATTATTATTATTACTATTATTGTTGAAAGTATTACAGATGTCCCTGTTTTTCCCCCCATTGATCCCCTCCACCCAACATCCACCCTGCCCCCACCCCCAGGTCTTCTCCACACTGTTGTTATTCTTTTAACTCTTCATTCTTCATTAAGTTTCTTCTTCAAAAAGCATGTTAAATTTGTGATGAAAAATAATCATTAAATTAAAATAAAGGCAAATTCTAATAAAGTATTTTGGCTTTTAACAAATACTGCAAGTATTTTTTTAAAAACCTTTATTAAATGTAATTTTTTTCATCCATTTTTTCTATTGGAAAATATTTTCTCTCTCTAGAATCAAAATGGGGATTTTTCCTGCAATATTTCCCTATCCCTAAGCCCCAATAAACAAGTAGTTATTTATTGTTAAAATGGGTTAGGGTGAACACTGGAAGTAAGGCAGTAAGAATAATTGCCCTCATTAAATCTGAACTGAACCACTTGCCTTTTACCTAAAAAAAAAAAAAGGCAAGGCAGACTAAAAAATAAAGGTTCTCCTATTGTCAGAAATTCCCCCCAATTCAAATGATTTCTTCTGACATCTTATATAGACAGTTCCTGAGTACTGGCTTCTTCCACAGGAAAAGCTGCAGGAGGGAGCTGCAGAAACTTCCCTGTTCCCTTTGCTGCTGGGATCCCAGCATGAAGCAGTGTGTGCTGTTAGCAGAAATAGCAGACATCTGACCACCACAGCCTACAAGCCAGGCACCATTCTAATCACACCACACACACTAACTCATCTGTTCCTCAGACAAGAAACTGAGTTTCAATAACTTGCCAAGGTTGTACGTGTTAAAGTGCACGAAGGGGAGAAAGAACTGTTCTATTTTGAAAAACCATTTTTCACAGTCATTATTTTACCTTTCAACAAAAACAATGAGTTCTATCATTTCAAACAATCGCAATTGGTTCTCTGAATTTCAATGAGTTATCTAGTGATTTTTCAGATCCAGCGTCAACATCCGGCTAAGTCTCGGTTCAATCTACTCTCAGACAGTCCAAATAGGTTAACAGGTGGGTAGCGAAGATCTCACGGGGAGATCCATCTTTATTAAGTCGAACTGAACAGCAGTCAACAAACAGGAAGACGCTAAGTCTTTGTCTGAATCACAATGGACATTCCTGGGCCATAAAGTAAAACTATTTTCTTGAGATTATGCGCT